TTCTTTGGACCAGAACATGAAATTATGGCATTTATCACTTCTCATATATATAAGTTTGTTCATAAACAAAACATTGGGTATTTTCTCTTTATTGTTGTATTATTGAGCCAGAGGATAATAACCTCTTTTCATCAAGTGTCAGTTCTATCCACTTATTTTTTAAACTTACAGGCATTATAGAACTGTCAATAGTGCCTCTGTACAAACTACAGAGTATTTTGTTTTATTACAAAAAAATGATGCTGGGAAGGACGCGAACAGCTAACAGTAAGAAGCTTCATGTCAGTAGTTAATCTTAATTTATTTTTTCAGCTATCTGCAGGTGTTAATTCTCATAGTTTCAATGGACCTTGAAAGTTTAAGGAAACTGATTCAGGAGGATAGGTTGGTAAAATGGATGATTATACGTTTCTGGGAAACTGCCCACCTACCCCTCCTCCAAGCCAACATTTTGCCTTAACTGAGAAGTAAGTGTTAATGTTGGCTTAGGGGAGGGGTAGGTGGGCAGTTTCCCAGAAACGTATAATCATCCAAATGGATGTACATTCTCACACGCCACTTGTAGCCATGCCCAGCTGACCAACACAGCCTGACAATTTTCGCAAACTCGACAAAACATTGTACGTGTACAACCTGTTTCAAAATTGTGAAATTACTCGCCTGTCTTGTGAAATGACGGGGTTTGAGATATGCTGTATTGACAAACAAATAATGCAAGACAGTATAACTTACAATGATACATGTATTTGAAATCCTTGGGTGGATAGGAAAAGGCCAGTAAGGTCCAGTTCAGACGTCAAACTTTTCATGTTTCGAACCTAATCCCTTCAATTAAGTACATAAAGAGATCGATGTTTGAAATTAACTTCGACGTGTCTAATTTGGATCGACCCATGAATTAAGATCAAATGGCCCACATGGGAATTTTGACTGTGGAGCAGCTTCGTTTCAAACGTAGAACTTCTCATGTGCCATAAATTACTAAAATTTATTCTCACTTTTAAGCATTGTAGACCATTGAACGTTGTGAAAATGGATTAAATCCGACCAATTAAGTTTGACGTCTGAATCAACCGTCGTCGTCATTTTTGTCGACCTAAATAGGTATTAAGGACGGTGCATGAAAAGATCGACGTTTGAACTGGGCCTAATAGCATTTGCAACAAAAACAACTTCCACCTTGACTTACATGTATTCCTCGGACCTGTGTGTGAGAAAAACATTTTTACTTGACCATTTTATTTCACCCTGTCAGTGGAAAATTACAGTTACTAAGGTTCATATGACAGTTTAATTGGTCTACCGTTATAAATTACTCATAACAGACTTTAAATCATTGGTAGAACTTGTTAGTACTTTTGGTTTTGTGCCAGCACGAGAGGGACTTGTCATTATTAGTGCATGTACATGCGCAGCCTGTATGTGGATATATTCATTTCACTTCCTATCAAATCCTGTGGCAGTGACAAAAATAAAATATGTTTTGGATGACCTTTCAGCAACGGTCATTGTAGCATAAAAATTATGACAATATTATACTTATCCTAAAAAAATAATGATGTGTCCCACAGTTGTGCAAGACATCATCTGTTACAGGAAAAGAAAAATTTAGAGGTAAAAAAAATTATTATTATTCCTAAGATAGATGATATGAAATTTGAGAAATATGTTGTGGAGTTGGAGTCGTGCAATTTCAAAGAAGAAGACATAAAGCCTTTCAAATATACAACTCAAAACACTTTGGAGTTTGATTGGCTTAACTGCATTATACAGAACCCATTAACCTTGTTAAACATTTTATGCAAAATGTGTAAGATTATTGAGTGGAAAAGACTGTGAGATCTTGGTAATAGAAAATGTTGCATTTGCTGTAGATCTTGGGATGATAGAGCCCTTAGGATTCTAGGACGAGAACGACTACGAGTACGAGATTTGACTTAACGTTTTTTCGCGTAGTCTCAAAATATAGACTCCCCGGAAAGCTTCATTTTACCATTTTTCACTAGAAAAGTTAGCACTGTTATCTTTAGTGAAGAAGATTACGCGCTCTCCCGATCGCAAAAAGATAAAACTTCGAACATTTGAAAACTCGTTTTCCCCACTTCGACATTCTCGCTAAATCTCCTAGTAGAGTGACAACGGCTACCATGTTTTTCCTCCAAAATGACGCCGCTTCACGCGCGAGCACTACTTAGTACTGAGAAAATCTCATACTCGTTGTCGTACTCGTCTTAGAATCTAAAGGTCTCTTTTTCAAGATACGTAATGAGTTCACCTCATTATCAACACCTATTTCGTTATTAATATTCATTACTGTTTTGAAGGTGTCTAGCAATGATGTCACCTCCTTAATTTAGAGAGCTTAAGCAACGGTGCAACCACGACGGCGACGGCAACGAGAACGGCAAAAAAGCAATAGGTTTATATTGGAAAAACAACATCTTTGCACCTACATCGCGCTTATTTGTACATTTCTTTCGTCACTACACGATTACGACTCGACACAGTCCTTTAGAATTCAACTCCAGAAAAATTTGCCAACTTTTGACAAATTAACGAAACGGGATAAGAGCGATAATGTTTGAGGCAGCGAGAATGTACCTTATGAAGTGACATTTTCGTAGCTGTCGCCGTCGTTGTTGCCGGCTTAAGCTCCCAAATGTCCAGGTAGAAGTGTCTTCCTGCCCTGTCGTTACTTTTATATGTTAATTCTCATCAAGGTTGATCGCTGTTAAAGTTGTTCGGTTTGTTTCATTGTTAGTCCCTGGATGAATTATTTATATGCTGGGGAGATCAGCCTCATCATGGTCCAGTGATGTTAGCCTGGGCTGTGTTCAGATATGCTACTATGGAGGCCTCTCAAGAACAGGTTCGTGATGCGATTTCCAGATGCTGCTGTATGTCGCGTATGTTGCAAGCTGCTGGGGGATTAAGGATTAAGGATTAAGGGTGTTTTCAATTTTTTAGCAGCCAGCTGCAAAAATGTTGCGACAATCCGACGAAAAACCGGCCTCTCTTACTTCAAATCGCTGCTAGTCACACGTCTGTGAGATATAATACTCATCTACCCATCCCCTCCATTCAAAGTTGTTCCACTAAGTTTTGACCAACTTTGATAAGGGGAGGAGGGGGATCAGAAGCACAAGCCAAGGGCAGGCCATTGAAGCCAAAATAGGCTACAGTGTCTCAAATATTAGGGATGTCAACCGGAGGTGAGGTCGTCTCTCTTTTTATATGCCTTTTTGCAACATGTTGTACATGTAGCATGCTGCCGGGGCCGTGATTAACTCCTTAAGCCCCAAAAGTGATTTTTACAAACGCTGTCTTTGTAATATCGACGCGTAATCAATCAGGAAGGTTCTGGGGATTAAGGTAATGATCACTGGGGATTAATTCTTATCAAATTCTCCTTACTACTTCCTTGAGAAACACTTGGGACAAGAAAGAAGCATATTTATTTTATTTAATATTGTGGCCTATAGGGTTAAGGGCGCTTTCCATCATTTAGAACTGGCTAGCCCGACCAAACCAGTCTTAAAAATAACGCCACTTCAATCAGGACTATCCAACGAGATTAGCCTGACACACGCGACATACGACTTCGGCACACGACTAGCCTGTTCCAAGCGTTCGGATAGTGGAGTGCGACGTGAAGTAAGAAAGCGGGAAAAATTTAAGAGAGGGAGCTCGGAGAGGCTATACACGTCCTTTACTTCGTCTTCCTGCCAAAATGCTGCTTGTTCCAATAAGTTTTGCGAATGAGATTTGCCTACCAGGTAGTAATTAATTCAACAACAGAAGGAACATTTAAATGTGTTCATTGTGCCATGACAGAAACTCATGCGAGGATGAAACGTGTAACTCGCGCTCAGTGCTCGTAAATATTCGTTTTTTTAAGTACTATATTTGGAAACCCTCGCTGCAGCTTCAAAAAAGCAGTAGGTTTAACAACAACTTTGCACTGGCATCTCGCTTTTTGTACATTTCTTTGCCGTCACTGCATGACTACGACATGAAAGTGCCCTTTTGTTGAGGGCGAAAACACAATACAGCGACTTTCTTTTTCTTTTTCTGAACATCGATACAGTCTTAAGATGAACTGAAGGAGAGGAAATCATCGCGAATACACTTTTTTTAAGTGACGTTTTTGTAGCTGTCGCTGTCATTGTTTCTTGAGCTCCCTCCCGAGAGCGTGGAGTAAAATTTCGTCACGTCGTTTACGGAATTTGATCAGTCAGTTATCTTTTCTTCTCGTTCCAAATATGGTACTTGCGAAAATAAAAATTCACGAGCATCGGACAAAGCAAACATGTGAGATTTACACGTTTCAAACCCTCATGAGTTACTGGTCACAAACATTGTGGGTTTTGGGCAATTTCCAACCCGCTGTGCTTTTTGTTTCAATACATTCAGCCACCTATTTTATTGTGTTTCCTGTCCTTGTAATTCTTCATTTTGTTTTTAGTTTGTCAGAAGAATCGGCAGCAAGGCTTTGCAGTGCTCTGTGTTTCAATATTTACTTGGATTGTTAAAAAGCGATGAATTCTCTAAAAGCACTGTAAGTATTTTTAAAGATGAACCAGGTAAGGTACTTTAACTACTGTTCATCTGCATAATTCTTCATATCATACTCGGCCTCACTCAGTCATAATGATATTGTTTACAATCACTCTTAGTCAATATTTGATTCTTGTTTGTTTGTTTGTTTTTTCTAGCCCGTGTCTAATACATGTAAAAGCCTTATATATGGGCTGATGGTTATCGTCTTAGGACTCTTCCATGAAGACACATTAGGAGATTTACAGGTAAACAGTTCTTTTTTCCTTGAAGTAAAGAAATGACTTAGATAAAACAGGTTATTTGAATACCTACATTTACCTTAATCAAATTATGACCGAGCCTGTGAAAATCAGATGTTACTTAATTTTGCATTGTTCAGTTAGTAGCTGTATGAGATCTTTTTAAATGTAATTTCAAAGAATTACAGTAAGAATATCGAGTACCATTTACAATAGGGAGCTTAAGCATCAGCGACGAAAACGGCAGTAAAATGAAACGTCGCTAAAAAAAATGATTTCTGTCCTTTTAAACTTTATCACGTCTATTTGGACCGTCCGAATTTGTTAAATGTGGGCGCCATTTCCTGGAATTTCAAAGCGAGAAAGGAAAATTGGTCGTCGTTTGTTCACGTCCTCCATAAAACGTCACATTAGGAAATTTTTCGTCGTAGTCTTGCTGTGGACGTCAAAGAAATGTACTAAAGAGCGTGATGCACATACACGGCTGTTGTTTTCCTTTCAAAAACAATTACGTTAAAAACCCGCGTTTAAGAACCTAGATTTTACCAACTTAGCCTTAATAGGTTCTTATAGAAATGGTATTTTTGGGATTTTAGGCTGCTTAGGTTCTTAAATAGGTATTTAATTTGATAGGGGCACTAGTGATCAGCACAGATAACTACTACAAGGCATATGTGATATGGAATGTATTGTTGTATTAAACAATTATCCAGAATACAGTTAAATTTATCTTTCCAAAGTACCAGCATGCATGTCTTTCATGGTGCAGTGTCCATAAAATGCTGTGTCGCATTTTTGATCGTTTGAATCTTACTGACTGAAACCTAGACTGAAATTGTTTTTCTGTATTTTCGTCTCTGCCTTCGTCTTTGTTAAAAAAAGAACCTATTGAAAATTTTAGGCTAAGTAGGTTCTTATGAAAAGGCTGTTGAAAATGAAAATTTTAGCCTTACAGGTTCTTACATTTTAGGTTCTTATACGCGGGTTTTTACTGTATTTTTTGACGTTGTCGTCGTCGTCGTCGTCGTCGTCGTGGTTACTAATGCTCTCTATAAATGCCAGTCATTAGTGGTCAGTCTAGCAGCCCCTCTAGTTAGATTAGTTTTCTGTGTTGTTCATTTGGCGTATATTATTGATAGCGTGAGGAGAGGAGTTTTTCAGCCAGTATTGTTTGCGAAAAATTTTCTTGAGCAAGTTTCCCATTTCCCCTTCCCATTGCCCTTTCCACTGATATTTTAACGTCATAGGTGCCTGTTTCCTTGCGTGTGGGTTAACGGCTCTAGTGGGCTGATAGGTTGTTCCGCACAAAAACACACGCCGAAATTTCACGACACTACCACAGGTTTTTCCGCGAAATGACGTCTGAGAAACGAGCACAGAAATTCCACACTGATGACGTGCCGGAAACCAATTTCCTACGCGGCTATAACTAATCAGAAACAATCAGATCTGGCTAGTGACACGTCATCTGAGTATGGAATTTCTGTGCTCGTTTCTCAGACGCCATTTCGCAGGGAAACCTGTGGTGGCGTCACGAAATATCGGCTGTTTTCTCAGGCAGTGCAGTTTTAGCGACTTTCTTCGTCTTCTTCTTTTTTAGCTTTTGGTTTCTGTTTTATCACAAGCTCTCACTGAGAAAGGACTCTGTATAGATTTTTGGGATTCAGTATGTATCAATATTATATTTATTGCTAAGTATTGTAGCTTCATCATTTATTCAATGATATTATCTTGCACAGCTGTAGATACAGTGCATGCTAGATTTTTAGATAAATCATAACGAAAACAAAATTCTCAAATCTGATTGGCTATCACCCGTCCTGATTTCAGCATTAATGGTACAGTGTAATAGAACAGTACTCGTCATGCCTAAGTAACTGAACAGTACGGGTCATCGCGCGCGCGCACGCTTGTGAAGCGTTTTCGTGTTGTCCAATTCGGCCTGTTATCATACTCGTGATTAAACAAACTGATCACTCGTATGACCTATTACCATTATAAACTAGAGGTAATCATTCATTACGGATCCGCGTTCGTCATTTACGGAAACGAAATCGAGTCGAAAGGAATCCAGTTTCCCGGCCGAGGTGCCTCTGATAAAATTAATGGGGGCGGCTAATTTGCAGTCGCCCCTCATAGCTCGAAAATTTCTGCCTTCGTTCTACAGTAACATCAGATTAGGATGCGTTCTGACGAACGCGATTATTGTATTCTGTTTGTCAAAAACCAGTTCCACATATTTGTATAGTTTTTATCAGAGGTCTTGCGTAAAACTAAGATTTCAAGGGAAAACTGACAACCTGCCTAAGTGTCAGTTTTTCCAAAAATAATGTATTTTAAATGAAGTTTTAAACCAATTAGAGAAGCTGCGGACGAAAAAATGTGCACCGTCAATTTTTCTAGCTGGTCTTGTTAAATTTCTCCTCTTTTTGAAAATGACAATATTTTTTTTTATTTTTTAAGGACTTGTCCACTGGGGCCGGACTTCTTTTGAATTCTGCTAAAAGTTGGTAGGTCTGATCCGTATGATTTTTGAAAATCATTTAACACATGGTATATTTTCACTCATGCCTGGGGCTTGTCCACTGGGGCCGGACTTCTTTTGAATTCTGCTAAAAGTTGGTAGGTCTGATCCGTATGATTTTTGAAAATCATTTAACACATGGTATATTTTCACTCATGTGTAATTTTAGTTCTATGATACACGTTTTCCGTGAACTTACGCTTATAAGCCCCGACCCCCTCCCCTCCCAGTTATAGGCCCATCTACCTGTAAACCAAAAAGTACATCCGGTTATACCCTCTCCAGGGTATAAATTCCCCTCTAGCTTGCATTGAAATGAATTCGATTTATTACGACGTCAGTAAAGCTAAAAAATGAGAGTGGATTCACATAGTATCTTAACAGCACTGCTATATAGCTTGTTTTGAAACGGCATTTTTACTCCGGTTAGGATACTCCCCTAGGATATAAGTCCCCCCATTTATAAGTCCTCCTAATTAAAAAACCCCTTGGGAAGTTGTGCAAGCCCAGGGCTTATAAGCGGAAGTTTACAGTATTGTCTCTGTTCCATACAGGTTTCCACTTCAATTCCGGCCATTCCTCGAGCTTCTGAAATCACTTGCAGGCGATGAAGATTCAGCATCAAAGGTTTGTTGCCATTTTGGCTAGAATTGGACTTGTTAATTCACAGTGAAATTAACGGCAAGCCAATGTAATGATGCCACAGTAGAGAGTTTTAGATCCGAGTTTACCGCGAACCTCTAACCGCGGTTTGCGGTTACCCGTTTGCGGTTCGACGTTCAAACATAATTCGATTTAGATTGGCGGTGGATTAAATTACGGCAGCCATTTTGAATCAGCAGCCATGAATGGCACTTTTTTTCAAGATCCAATAGGATTTATCAAATTTAGCATTTCGCCCGAATTTGTGCCTCTGTTAATGGATAAAGACTTGCTCCAAAAGATTTTTGTATCTTTACGTGGGATGAAACAAGAATTATACGCTAAAATCTTCCAGGTAAATGACATACGTGAAAACCTACCTCCCCACGTTGAAAACGCACGTCGTAAACCTCAAACGTGACGCGAAAGACTTGTCACGTGACCTCCAGCGGTTAGAGGTTTGCGGTAAACTCGGATCTAAAACTCTCTAGTGTCGCTGATAGACCTTATTCACGATTCCTGCCATCTTTGCACGTGCTTTGGGATCGATGGGATAAAACCAATGTCATGCGGTATTTCAGGAGGCAAACAAAGTTTGCTAATATGGGTAATCATGGTCGAGTTTGTTTATTCTCTCAAAACAAGACGACGATTTAATAGTCTTGCAAACATACAGTTTGAGTTTCGACAAGATTTACGTCATTATTGTTTCCTGCAAGAACATCTACGGTTGCTACTTCATATAAAGAAGCAACAATGAACACTTCCACCGGTATAATTGCCTTTATCGTCTTTAAATAGAAGGGTTCTTCATTTTCTGTTGCCTAGAATAAAACAACTCGACCGCGATTTCATGCATTGGGATTTTTCTTTTTCACTTGTTTGCTCCCCCTTAAGAAACCACGTGAGGTTGCTTTTATCCCATCAGTTCTTTAGCACGTGCAAAAAATGGTGGGCACCGTGAATAAGGTCTATTGGTCTTACTTATTGGGTTGCCACATGCATCCAATTATACACATACAATCTAGTGTGTTCCTGACTGTGTTTCGACTATTTTATGGCTGAAAATTACCAAAACCGCCTGTAGCTACCACTGTGTAGCTCATTACAAAGCGGTCATAGCTTTCAGCCAAAAAGAAAAAAATCCCTGTCATATCCCTGGTGGGTAGGTATACCTCCCATCAGGTCCCCAGAAGGGATACAGATCAGACAAACTCCATGTGATGTACCTAATGTAAGTAAGCATTGTTGGTGAAAAGCAGAAAATAATGATCCTTGCCATCTGTTTATTTCTCTCCAGGTTTATGAGTTTTTAGATTGTGTGACATCGTACACAGAGTTACTAAGAGAGAACAAACTTGGCGACATAGATTGCTCTGGGGACAAGAAAATATGGAAAATAGTTACTCCAAGACTTCTCTACAAGAGTGGTAAAGGGCCTTGTATTGATTGCTTCGTGCATATGATGCTACGTTTGCAGTTTGCAGTCATATGACCTGGTTAATGACAAATATAATTATGGAGCACAACTAAAGCTGTCAGCTATAGGCTTTTTGAACGATGGCGTCATTTTACTACTACGACCAGAATTCTTTTCGTTTTTCCTTTCACATGTAAATTTGGTAATCCCGGCGAGGGTTAAATAACAATAGCCCTAACTTGCACAAGAAAGGATAAACCCGAAGGATTCTCATCGTAGTCGTAAAATGACGCCATCTTGCAAATGGCCTATTCTACCAGTCCATTTGACAAATTTGGGCAAAACCGCATGAGCCGAAAAGGTTGTTTTTATCGGCGGAATAATTTATTGTATTGCACGTAAATACTACTTAAAACATTTGTGGCTTTAAGACTGTAGTAAAGACTTGTCTTTTGTTTATCCGTTGCTGGCCCATGCCACATTTTGTTGTTGTTGTTTTTTTTTAAAGATCCCCTTGTGGCTGAGATCATTACAAAGCTATGTATTAATAGAGAGCTTTAGATTCTGAGACGAGTACGACTACGAGAGTAGTCGAGAGTAGTGCTCGCCCGTGAACCAGCGTCATTTTGGCGGGAAAACGTGATAGCCGTCGTCATTCTACTACGAGTTTTAGCGAGAATGTCGTAGTGGCGGGAACAAGTTATCAAATGTAAGGCGTTTTATCATTTTGCTATCTGGAGAGGGCTTGACCTCCTTCAGTTTAAATAGCCGTACTGACTTTTTTGGTAAAAAAAAGTAAAATGAAGCTTTCCGGGGTGTCTTTTTTGAGAACACGCGCAAAAACCTTAAGTTAAATCTCGTACTCGTACTCTTTCTCGTCCTCAAGTCTAAAGCTCTCTAATGCCGTAAACTGCCCCTCTTAAGTCCAGGGATTATACATCTTCGTAATAAGTTTTAGGGGGCCTATAAACGGAGGGGCTTTTATCCGAGGGGGGTTATAGCCGGAATACACAAATCGTTTCGAAACCAACTATACCAGTACTGATTAAAATGCGTTTTGCTTTTGCGTAACTCTGTATACCCTAAGATCAAAATTTGAATTCTCACTTGTTTCCCCTATTCATTTCCGACAGAAGTATTGGGGAGAAGTTGATAAAACATCAGGCGAATTCATCTTGTTTTCTTATGTCTGTAATTGTCATGACCACTCTGTTTTACAAAGCGTTGATATTACAAGGAGAAATTTGGTGGTGACTACTCTTAGTGCTTAAAGGGTTAAGCTCCAATAAATCGAGTTCATTTCAATGCATTTGGCGGGGGTTTACATCCGGGGGTTTTACAAGAAGGGCTTATAATTAAGTGGAGGGGGGTGCTTATAATTGACAGGGCTAATAAGCGGAAGTTAACGACATGTGCATCATTTTGTTTTTCAGTACTTAGCTCCGATTCTGATCAACTTCTAATGCCCACTGGAACATTAGGAAGAGTAGCCACTATGGCAGAAGGTAAATCACCACCAGATTTGTAACTGATTGTTGTTAGAATTAAATTAGACTTTCGCAAAGTTGTTTAACATTTTCAGTTCTAAATAAGTAGATTGTTTTGTATTGATTTGTTTACTTCATGCAGGACCTGTTATTGTGCAGTGGAGTTACCAGTACTCTTGCTGGAAGCTGTTTGCTCTGGAAATTGACACATTTTTGGAATCTGTTGCCTCAGGGATAGGTTTGTAAACTTTTTTAAAAGGCAATATATTTTAGGTTCATCATCTTACGTTTCGTCCGATTTCCCCCGCGGCTAGTCTGAGAGTGACCCCGCCTCCTTTCAAAGAAAACAAAAGAAAAAAAACGAAAGAACTTCTTAGCTCAACCCTCAAAGTTAAAATTTTTGTTCAGTGGCCATTTGGCGATCAGCTCTTTGGGTTTAGTCGCCAGGGGAAATTTTTAGGCGCCAAATTATATTAATATATTAATATATCAAAATTGTCATTAACAAAAGCAGTTAGCAAGTTTAACTTAAAATGCAGCACTGTCTATAAATTACTCGTTTATTGTGCAAGGCATTAGTTACTGATAGTCTGAGAATAAGGTTTGCAGATTCATCTCCTTGAATCAATACTGAAACGGAATTGTAAAGACAATTACCATTTCCAGTTGTCTTTAGGGCCTTCAATCCTTCTGTATAATCCCCAGTTGGTATATGAGAGCAGAACTTAACTCATCCTCTGTTAATGTGTTCAAAATTTCCCAGTCGCAACTTGATAGGCGACCTATTTTTTTTTCTGATATTTGTTTCGCATTTCTTTTGCGACTTTTGTTGATGATGAACTTGTTTCCCCAACTATCAAATATTTTTGGAGATTTAAAAGGTCGTTTTTAATATCGCTAGACATCGCGAAAGCCTGAAAAAGGCAGGAGAGTATAGGAAGATCAACAAGTTTTCTAAATCAAATCATTGCTTTATAGAGATAACATCGCGCACGTGAAAATTTCGCAACGAGTTGTACTGGGAAAAAATGTTTTTCCCAATCAATTGAAAGGAACCCAAACAAAAATGCCGCTTACGAAATAATAAATTTTCTTTTTCCTTTTTCATCGCTACAGGTGTTTTAAAAAAACCATTTTTTGCAACAACCATAAGCTGTCAGTTTTGCGATGTTTAGTTTCGCTTACATTTATCGCTTTTGTTTACAAAACCGCGATTCAACTCGCAGCACGGTTCACATGTTACTGTTATCACATAATGTTCTGTTTTGAATTTGCACCAATTTAGCTTTCCCTCTTCATGTTATTAGATTGTTTCAGTATTGATTCAAAAATATTTATAATATGTAGTCCAGTTCAGGCCCGTAGCAGGGGGAGGGGCAGGGGGGGCTCGAGCACCCCCAGAAATTTTCAGACTTGAATTAAATTCTGCTACAAAAGTGGAATTTTTCTACTAAGATTGACAGCTGTCAATGGAAGCTAAAGTTTCAAAGTATTGTCGATCATAGTAAGATTATGCACTGTTGTTCTTCTGTGCAATTTGGAATTGTGTAAATGAACGAAATCGTATTTTTGCTCTGCCAAAAAGAACCAACAGCTTTAAAATATCTGCTTATTAAGCATCAAAATAGTCAGAAGCAAAATGGATCGAAATGCACCAATGACAATCCCACCTGAACCACCTCATGATGTTGCATGTTCTGAAGGACAGAACAGATGCTCTGACCCTTGTAGACGTAGCTAATGACTCCGTCGGGGAGAAAGAAAACCGAATTGTTTGGCAAATTTTCCGCGAACGACGTCCCAAACAAGTTCTCTATTTCGTCAAAGTCAACACAAACAAAAAATTAGAGACAAGAACAAAAGGTATTGTAGACAAATCTAGTGATCTGACATGTACTAAGAAGTATGCTTTAACCAAGGGACCGAAGCGGGGGGTCAATGTAGGCCACTCGCTCAGCCCCCCCCGTCATTTTATGCCTGCTACGGGCCTGCAGTTAAAAAACCACCGAACTTGGCTTGACAAGCATTCCTAAGATATCGAAGAAATCGTCACTGTCGACAAGGTGAAGGCGCTTCGATTGCGTGCCATTTGTCACGTGTCAAAAGTTAAAATGTCACGTGCAAGGCAACAGACTGAAGGCGATTTGGCGAACGAATGCAAGTCAAGTTTCATTGATGTTCATTTTCAAAACGCTTAGCTCTGAGATTTTTTTAAGTTTTCAATTTAGCATGTTTTTCAACGGGAAAGTAAAAAAGTAATAGAATTCAAATCAGCTAGAATAAATGTTCTTCATATTTCAGTAGAAGTGATTACCATTTCTGTTTCTATACGCCAACACGAACCTATTCTTCACGGTCGCCAGCTTGGCGACTATTCTCCAAATCAAGTTGCCAGTTCCAAAATTTTAGGCGCCATGGCGACTAAAATGGTCGCAGCTTGGAGGGTTGTAGCTGATCACTGCCCCCCTCCTTTTATCATGAAACCGCACAGCAATATGAGTTATTTCATAAGGAATTTAGGTCACGTCGACACGTATCCGAACATATATGAAAACGGGGATTTTTTTTTCTCCGTTTTAGCATTTTGTCCACCCGTGAGCAGCGTTTTCAGGCACCCGAAACCCAGGTTTTCGAAAACGGTCCCCAGAGTGGAGCTTTTTCTGAATCGCCCGCTTATCGTTTGTGTGAACAAACGAGAACAGGGTTTTTCGAATACGGTGATGTCGTAGATGATACAGCGCATGCTCTGTTTAATAGTAATTCTCTCTTTTTTCTTTGTTTTAACGTTTTTGTGTGGACGCGTATTGGTTTGTGTGTTTTTTTTGTGAAAACGGAGGAAAAAAAAATGTCGGTTTTCAAAAATATCCGTATACGTGTGTACTAGGCCTTTCTAGCTTCAGTCATAAAGCACCTCCTTTATCTTAAAATTATAAATTAAGGTAAACCTTTGTGGCGTTTGGTACCAAACGACTAAACATTCACAGCTATCTATTTGCGTTCTTGGTAGGTGGTTTTAGGCCTAAAATCCGATAACGTTAATTGACATGGCCGCGATTCTGTCTGTTAGCAAGTTTAGTTTATATATAGGTATGGTGGTTTTTGAGAATATTTGTAACAACACTGACCTCTTCTCATGTTTACTTTTTTGCACAAACGCAATTTTTGTTTGTTTCCTTCACTGAGGTTTTTTTGTTCATTTTATGCAGCTGTTGAAAGTCAAAACGTGATTTGTATTGTGGAGCTGGTGAAGGAAATCCTGCACCATGATTGGAGCAAGGCAGTTCATCTTAAACCCATTACTGCCCGCCTTTATATGATTATACAAAGGTAAGAAGTTACGTACGTTAACCATTTATTTCGAGGCACCATGGCTTAATAAAATATAGTTCAGGACATGTTAGTTTGGTTCTATTCATCAAATACATTTTGTTTTTCATGAATCAGACAACCTGGCCTTAGCTGAAAAACAGTATAATTTCAGGGATGTGTTGCGCGTAAAATACATACTACTCACTAGAAAGTAAGGTGGCTGAATTTTTACCATACCGCCTATAACCATCACTTTGCGCCGTGTTAAAGAACAACCATGGCTTTTAGCCTAAAAGGAAAAATCCCTATTATACAGTAGAACCCTGGTAACTCGAACTCTGAAGGAAACGAAAAACGGTTTGAGTTTGTGAGGGTTTGAGTTACCGGGATGGATTAAATACTCAATTCGCTGTATTAATCATTGACAGCTACTGATTTTTCAGCACTTTAGTGCATTATATAGTACAGTTCAAATTTAACTTATTTCATCAGAAACGGTAACGTGATTTTGCATTTTGATGATCTGTTCGTCGCACGAATTAAAATCAAATTACTGTAGTGTTAGTTTTAGTATTTTTACCGATTATGTAGCAAGAAGAGCTAATGGGGTAGCATCCGAGTGGAGTCACAAGAACCAGAATTTGAGTTATCAGAGGGTTAATTTTTGTAAAATTTTGATCAAGGGAGAGGAAGTTTAGTTTGCGTTAGCGAGGAATTCGAGTTATCCAAGTTAGAACTAACCTAGTAGAAATGACTGAAAAGTGGGGTGAAATCCAAGGGAAATGGGACTTAGTTCGAGTTACCAGGGTTCTACTGTATCCCTATTTTCCTACACAGTTGTTCTTTGTGTTCTTCACTCCTCTCGCAAGCGGTGTTTGTGGAGGGTAGAGTTGTGTGACCCAACTAAAGCAGTTGCGTAGGAGACGATTATGTTCCAAGTGGGTTCATGACATCTCTTGTCAGGTCCCAAGAGAGGATATAGATCAACGTGAACTTCAAGTTTAACTTCTGACTCCTGGCTCGTCGATAGAAATTGCTAATCGAAGTAGGCTAATTGAGTATGCTAAGTGCAATTATTTGTAACGCTGAAATCGTGAATATCAGCAGTGGCTAAGCAGAAGAATGAATTAACGAGCTTTTAGTTTTTGTTTTAATTATCATAGTTTATGTTTTAAAGGCTTGTTTGCAGTGGAAAGTGCACTTACCTTATCCAGCTAGTGTACAGGTGCTCCAAACAAATAAGTAGAAACAAATAATCCAAACAGAACTGGCAGGAGGCAACCAGCCGGCTATTTACAAGCGTTGACGAGGATTTGAACTCGGGACGACCGAGAACAAATCCAGCCAGTGGCCAGAGCGGGACTCACAGGACCACTGGATTGCGAGTCTGACGGGCTGACTACTCGGCCACGCTGTCTCATGTCTATCAATTCATGTTGATGGTATTTTTGTTACTTTATTCTTTTTTCCAGGTGTACTCCTTCACCTAATCCACCACAGGATCTGATTGCAAGTTGCCTGTCATGTTTAGCAACCATCGCTCTGAAAGATCCCCAGCAGGTAGATACGTTTCACTGGGAAACTACCCACCTACCCCTCCCTAAGCCAACATTTTTCTAAGTGAGAAGTAAGTGTTAATGTTGGCTTATTGGAAGGGTAGGTGGGCAGTACACTGTGTTAACTTCCCCAAATCAATGCTTTGTATCACATTACAACTGTACTATGTTTACAGTCGAAGCTCTCCTTGCGACCACTCTCGTAAGCGACCAGCTCTAGTTACCACGACCTTTGTAAGACCTTGTTTGAACTGTGACTTAAACTTTGTTATGAAAAGCTTTCTACCCAACTGGACTTTTCCTTTGTTTTTAAGCTCTCGTAAGTGGCCACCCAGTCGTATTCATATAAATCAACATTTTAATGAAACGGAACTCTACGCTAATAGTCGTGTCTATATCAGATATAAAGACGCTCATTAAACGTTAGTTTCTTTGTTTTTTCTTTATGGATTACTAATGACTTTTCGAAGTGCTCGTGAGCGACCATCCTCTTTTATTTCACCATGCGGTCGCTTATGAGAGCTAATTCTCTAAAGTGACCAGCTCTAGTTACGACCACTTCGAATTTCCGAGGTGGTCGCTTACGAGAGCTTTGACTGTATTTTTTAACCATGTTTTATCACTAAATCACCCATGAACGAGGCACTTTTCAAACTACAATTTTTGCACCTTTTTTCCCGAAAGTTGGCCTTCATTTACGTTTCATTGTCGATCACTTTATGATGACGGAACGAATCGCACTCCACTCAGTGTTATTATTATTAATTAATTAATTAATTAATTTTTTTTTATCCAGTCTGATTTAAATTTCAATAATTGATTGCCTGAATAAACATCTTTTTCAATTTATGTGGCTGAATTTTACCAAAACCATCTATAACTACCAGAGTGTAGCTTATTATAGAGCGGTCATGGCTTTCAGCCTAAAGGAAAAAAAATCCCTGTTATATCCCTGGTGGGTAGTTAAACCTCCCTTCAGGTCCCCAGAGGGGATACATCGTTCTGCTTTAATCTAGAGTTGTAACACATATTTATTTTTGGTTCTCAAGAACGCAAGATAAGAAAAAAGAAAAAAGAAAAGAAATCGGAAAATAATCAAAGCCATCCACGAGTAACATATTCCGTAAAGAAACATTCTGTAGTTTTCAATTAATAATGTCGGTCATTTTGCGTGAACTTGAAACAGTATTAACTTTTTTATTATGATAATTTCCAATTCTCTGAGGGGCATTTCATTTCATTTGCAGTCCTTTCTAGCCATTAACCCGTTTGTTGATTCTGGTTTTTCATTCCACAGGTGTGGCACAATCTTCAACAGACAGCTTTTCTTCCCTACTGTGTTTCTGTCAAAATGTCGGAAGCAGAGAAGTCAAGAATAGAGTGAGTCAACGACTGTTATATGGCCAGCCGCAATTCAAAACCACGTGAAAGTACTACAGAAGAGGTTTCATTTGAACGAACACACCATAGGATTTCATCCACAGACTCTAAGTTAGCGATACTTACTCAATGACTAGTACCATGTGAAACTATTGTTAGAAAGTTTTGTCAACATGGTTAAGTGATTAGAATTTGTCATCAGTCTACAAAGATAGAAATTAAAGTTTCTAAAATAATTTGTCTAAGGGAATAATATGATTAAAGGTAATTGCTCTGGTTGCTTTAGTTGACCTTAAATATTAATTTAGCTTACTTTTCTTAGCTTCCTTAGCACAGCACCTGGAAACTTTGGTTTAATTCTAAACACCAAGGAGCGACCAATG